TTCGTTCTTCCACCGGGTCTTTAATTCCTATTTTGGAACAAAAAAAAGAAGTGAAGGACTGACCTCGACGTGACTTGAACACGCAACCTTCTGATCTGGAGTCAGACGCGCTACCGTTGCGCCACGAAGTCCACGCTATCAAGTGGTTTCGTGGCATCGTTTTTTGTTCGTTCTTCCACCGGGTCTTTAATTCCTATTTTGGAACAAAAAAAGAAGTGAAGGACTGACCTCGACGTGACTTGAACACGCAACCTTCTGATCTGGAGTCAGACGCGCTACCGTTGCGCCACGAAGTCCACGCTATCAACTGGTTTTGTGGCATCGTGTTTTTTTATTGTTATGGAATCAGCTTCTGTGAAATTTCACATATGTTTTCGAAGAAAGTAGGGCCTGTCAGTTGTAAATCGAAATTTTCCACGTCCGGATCACCAATACTTAACGACAGCCAAGTCTCGCGTTCCAGATATTAGCAGTCGAAGAAAAGGAAACTAAGTAGAATTAAGAATATATGGTTGACTGTTCAAGAATATTGTGAAGCTTGTATCAAAATTGGAAGGGTTGAAATAGTCTTGTCAATGTTTTAAATAGTGCAGTCTTTTATTTCTCTGCTGATAAAAATTTATATTCAATGTGCCAAGTATTAAGGATAATAATAGATTCCTTTACCACAGTCGCTATATAATCAATCTAAAAGGCGTGATTTCATCAAGTTGGAACTTTGAAAAATAATCAATATCGGTGTTTGGGAGTTGATTCAGATGAATAGTAGTGCCTTCACAAACATGCTACTGTAGATTTGATCGATATGTGTAACAGCCTCATTTACTACAGAATTCATGGTTTGAACAATAGTAATAATTTTAAGTGTGAAAAACGAAATAAGAAAAAGAAAAATAAATAGCAAATCGCAACAATCGAAACAAAAGGTAGAGGGTTAGTTGAAAAGAAAGACATTCTAGTCTAAGTGCAGAAATAAGTAAGGGAAAATTATTAATTTGCAGATCGATTATCTTGAAACAGAACGATAGCCTATGAGAAGTTTTGCACGTCAGCGTGTTCGAGCTAGGTTACTGAGACTAAAGAACATATGTGAATTTGACATTTCATCTCCAAAAAGACTGCGTTAACAAACGCTTTTTATTGTTATTTGAGAACAAATAAAAAAAAGTGAAGGACTGACCTCGACGTGACTTGAACACGCAACCTTCTGATCTGGAGTCAGACGCGCTACCGTTGCGCCACGAAGTCTACACCATTAAATAATTCGATTGTATCTTTTTTTTGTTGTTATTATCAAAAAATAGTTGAGAATAAAAAAAAAATTAAGGATTGACCCCGACGTGACTTGAACACGCAACCTTCTGATCTGGAGTCAGACGCGCTACCGTTGCGCCACGGAGTCGACGTTAGCTAAAGAACAGAAAAGAATCTGTTGCTTCCCATCGACATTCAGAACGCCAATGCAACGTATATATCGATCAGTATGTGTTCTCGCGAGTTATAATTCATTGCAAGTGTAAAAGGAACATATATATAGTGTACTAAATCATTTGTGTAGTCTTTTTTTTATAAATAATTCCATGTAATCCATTACACGCTTCAAGGAAACCTATTTACTTTACATATTTGACCTAATTCAGAGATGAGAATAAAAAAATTGAATTCTTTGTTCGACTACTCTTGTTTTAATTTTAATTACTGTAATAAATAGGAGAAAAGACAAGGCATGGATTTAAGTGATCAGTAAAATAGATGATATGATCAGTAGGAAAAAATATTATAAAATCAGTTGATTGAATGAATGATCAGTTATATACTGAAGTACCAGTAAACTATATATATGATCAGTTGTTAAATGAAAAGGTGACGTAATAAAATTTGAATATCAGTAAATAAAATAATATAGCAGTCAATTAAATCAAAGAATCAGTAGAGAAGTAAAAAGTAGGACAAGATGAATCGCTTTGTGCTTTGTTGTCTTTCTTTCTTTTTCTTCATTGACCTATATCTACTAGGGAACTGCAAAGTGGTCCCGGTCCCGGTCCCGGGACCAAAATTTGACTTTTTTACTGAACCGGGACTAAAAATTTTTCACATTGGTCCTGGTCAGTTTTTATGCAATATATTTTCACGTTTATTATTTTGACATGATTTAAGATCTGTAAATCAAATATTTTTATTTGCTATTTCTATAAAAGTCTTTACTGATTACGAGTCTGTTTGCAAGAATCTGAGT